GCAGGAGTTATTTTCAAGCACAAATTTTGACATCACTCTCCAACTGCTACTCATTGTTATACAAATAAGTTCTGCTATATACGCTTCTTTTTAATTCGAACCCGGGAATAGATGTTTAAAACTCCTTCGTGTATCAGGTCGGAGATATATTTAGGTAATAAGTAGACAAATATTGCAATTATTGCTTAAAAGAACATTACAGAGTGAACTATTTTTAATATACTGATTCAGCACAAATGCAATGGTGAGCAAACTCACAAATGTGGAGGAAAATAACTTTCAAAGCTAGTACAAACACGGCATAACTACTTTGCATAACATTGTAAGAGTTATTAGCAGTACCTTCGTTTTAAATGACAAATAATGATAAAAAAGTGAAACAATGCGTCACACATGGCTAAACATCCATTTTTTACTTCCAAAATACCAGTGTAAAGTGATTGACTATTTTGCATCTATCCGTGGCCACATTTTAAACTAAACCATAACGGGGTCTTTGATATTGCGTGCAAAATTTAACCCCCATTAAAATGTATGCGATATGGGTTGCTGTAAGGTTATATATAGCTTACTATCATACGGTTTAAAATGGTTTCTCTTAAAAAATGAATAATAGTTATGCTTCTTAAAAGATAACTCACTGCGTACAGTAGTTCGATATGCTCTTTGTCTTCCGGAAGAACTAAAAGATATAATTTAAAATTACGAACTCAAGAAACACTGCTGTTCACCCTTCACTGTATAAGGAAAATAGTAATATATTTAGTAAAAATTATTTAATATACTCTTTACTGTGAATGCCTTGTTATCAGCAATTATATTTGAACATGATTTAACAAAGCATTTTTGCATTAATAAGAGCATAAATTTCCTTCTAAAAATACACTTTTACTACTAATTTAACAATGAATGACACGTTTTATATGCACACACTGAAAAATACCCCTGATTTACAATTCGGAAATCGACTGAAAACTATGATTGATAGCTTAGTAGCTTAGTGATTCTTATTAAATCACATACATGAAAATTCCCTTTGGTCTTTATAATCCGTAATAATGAATGCTCAATATACGAATTTAGATGAACGGATATCGTTCAGACAGCAATGTGAAAGTTCTATATCAACATAAAAATTGCAAGCTTATGTTTATCACCTGTGATGAAAAATGCCTTGTTTTACTCTGTCCTTGTGCTTGTTCGTTTATATGAGTTTTCTTCCAGCGTTTAAGGTCAACCAGCATACATAATACTTTCTGCGCATGTTCCTACTTGCACATCTAACCCTTTTGGAATCAAGCTAGGTTACGCCTTCTTTACTTGAGCTTGTCAAGGCATGTATTTGCGAAGACAAAACATTCTAAACAGTTTATGACAATAGCTGAAAATATGACAATGCTATTTCGTCCGTCCAAAATAGAGCTTGTAGTCATGGAATTGTAACAGCAACCGTTACGTAGCCTGTAAGGGTTAATCATATTTTCTACATAGGCAAAGTCTTTGCAACGAACGCGATCCTTGTGAAATACAAGTACCTTTTAATGACTGAAGCGTCTGCACAGCGAACAAAACATTTCCAGTAGGCCAAACTGAAGGCCACTTTTATCATAGTTAAATAGTCCGCAGTAGAGTACATATCCGATGAAAGGTTGGGAATTTGGAGATTTAACACAAATTTGAGGTTGTTTATTGAGTGCTTTGGGTTGACTTGAGGCGCGAAATGCTGTTTACTATGATTTAATTCCGTTTAGATCAGTATATTAGGAGAAAATATAGGCGAAAATGGGCAAAATTCTGGCGTCTGTTGATATCCAAGGAGTTTTCTACGCTATTATACGCTGAGGAAAAAGGCTTCTTGTTTGTTCATGTTGCACTATAAAAGAACATTCGCGAAGAGCAGGAACATTTTAATTATATCCGTTTACAAAACGGAAAATTTTGTTTAGAGTCCATGAAATTGAGGTAAGTGTTCATACGAGATGCAGCACTATGGTCGAGAAAAGATCGATGAATTTAGCTAACAAATTTTTTGCCCTGCAAATCAACATTGGGAAAAAACTGTAGTTAAGGCGACCACATCCATTTCTGACATACTCAATGCAAGTTTAAATGTTATTGGAAACAATTTAATCTATAAAAATTTTGTACTGGTACTTAGTCTGGATTAATTTACCATGCTTTTCCATTCCCATGCCTTAAAAATATTTATATTACACATAGGAACAGTGACTTTTAATATTGCATGAGATAGTGCATCTGCAGCACTTATTAATTGCAGCGAATCAGCCGACAAGAAGGTCGAGGTCCAGTTCCACCAAAAAAGTTTAAGAATAAATTCATCCCCTGGAGAATTCACCGAAAAATGCAGGCGGGGAGCCAAAAGAAGGAAACCAACGGTACAGCCAGAATTGACAAGCTAGCGAGCAATATCTGCTAGTGCTGGTGTATCCGAAGAATTCGCTCGACCGATCAGCGAATTTGGGATAGGCGTCGCTCACAGACCGAAAGCGACAGTCCGCAGGCAATTTATGCAGCCTAAAGACACAATACCCGTTAACCAAAAATCCTGTGTAATTTACCGCATCGACTGTCTTTGTGGTCAAGCTAATTATATTGGTGAAACCGACACATGGGTTCTTACGAGAATGCACCAGCAGGAACTCGTCGTGCGACGGAAGGAAAAGCTTTCCTTGGTAGTCGCCCACGCATCAACGTCAGGGCACGGCTATGACTTCGAACGCGTGCGAATACTGGGCCAGTCAGACGATCGAAATTCATGCCTGCTGCAGGAAGCTTGGCATCCACGAGCGGATTCTATTTACAGGCATATCGATCTTCCTCATGCCTTCCTTGCGTTGCGCGAGCAGATTGGGGGCAGAAGTCAAGGGCAAGGTCACCCCGGCGGAGTTGATTCAATTATGAGGTGAGCTGTACATTTTTTCCTTCCTTGACAATGAGCTCGCTTGAGAGTTCGGACAAATAAACCGCTGATCCCAGGTGACTCTTTACCGTCTTCTACTTATCCATGTGGGAAACAAGAGATCCAAATCCGCCCAAAGGCAACCAAAAACATTAAAAGGGCTATACCAGGGCTAAGAATTTCGTTAATTTTTTATTATCCTAATGGTAGCATTTTGCGTTCTACTTACACTCTTAAAAAACTTGCCGCATCACTTAGGCTGAGCACTGTTTAATTTTTTAAAACGGTGTGATCATCCTATGCTGCGCTATCATGCCACACGCCTACATCTAGTTTCACATTGCCCCGGTAGATTCTCTAGATTAATATATACAAAAGCCATTTATTTATTAAAGTTTACGAAATATTATATTTTTTATACGTAGGCGATATAATTCGGCATGTTAAACACAGGAATCTGACAACTTATTCAGTG